ACATTTACAGGGAATGGAAGGGGCAGGCAGGCAGGACTCATGAAAAACAATTGAGAGGAAAACACTTGGGGGAGCAAGCCAGCCAGCAAAAAAAAAAAAAAAACAAACCGACACAGGAATGCTGGGAAGGATCTGCAACTGCAACAACGGAAAGCAGAATCAGAAGCAAACCAGCTGAAAAATTACGCACATCCAAGCCAAGTGGAAGAGCTGTTAAATGAGCGTGTTGCCCGCGGTCGGAGGGGCGCTCCAAACTAGCAACTTGCAACTTGCAGTACGCTGCGTGCCACTTTAGTGGCTACAAGGGCAATTCCGGCTGATTGCCAGCAGAGCTGGGATAGCCGAAAAATGGAGCTAGGGGAAAGGTATGTATGTCCTGCCCCCTCCATCACTGCCACTGCAACTGCAACTGAAAAACAGGAGCTGCCATACTATAGTAGGAGGGGGCAGGATCAGCAGTTTGGCAAATGTCAAGTGGCCGGGATAACCGGAAAATGCAAATGAACCATCAGGACGTCCCTAAATGATGCGAGTAAACAAAGAGAATCCTTTATAGCCCGGCCATGAAAGACTGAGGGCAGCAATGCAACCATTTTTAAAGCCTCGGATGAAAAATTAATAAAACCCAAAGGAAGTCAGGTCACTCTGGTGGCATTAAAACTTAAGCTCCTTTCGGGGCTTGCGGCTACTTGTCGAATTTCCAGCAAAGAAGCTCACGAAAACATTATCCATAATCCGATTGGGAAATATGAGTTGGAGCTCCAGTTGTTGGATTTTTAAAGTCACAGTGCCGAGTATTAAACATTGTCGAAGGACATTGATTTTGAGGGGAAAGCCAAATCGGGAGACGGGCGGCGTCCAAATGGCACTCGAGCCAATCGAGAGTCTCTTTGTTTAATTTGCCTTATCCGCCCATTAAGGTCCTTTCGGCGAACGAGGACAAATCGAATGTTACAGAAACAGGATAAGCAGATTGCACTTAAAATCAATTTTATTTAGACAGCGAAGGCAGAGTGGTTCGTTTCTACACTGCGATTGGAGCATTTGGGGGCTAAGATGGTGAGCTCGTGTTCCACTCTCTTCCTAATGTCCTTTCTATTTTTCTGGGTGTAACGAATAGTAGTCGTCGCTATATCGACATTAATGTCCTTATGCGTGCGTACGAATTTCTGGCGAATCGAGCCAAATAAATATGTAAATTCCGCCCGCCTCTAGCCCAAAATCGCAGCCGACATGGCCGAGATGGCGGAGCCATTGCCTAGAGAGTGAGGTGTGGAACAAGTGGTGCGTAAAACTGATGACTAGACACGTTGACAATCGAGTGTGGCAGCGACGACGACAAGTTGGGGCCATTAAAATGTGCCAGGACGAGGCACAAAGTCGCAGGCAAATAGAGCTGCTGCCCTTGAGTCTTCAATAATATCGACAGACACATATCTGTCGGATAACTTTGTATCTGTATCTTAATGACGCCCAGACATTAAATGAACATATTAGGATCATCTGCGAGCGACGTTCATGGCTTCATCTCGATTATCGATTGGAATAGACACGTCCTTTTGCCGGGCCTTTAGATACAATTTAAATTCGAGTCCCCCATCGATTAATTAGACCTTGAGGACAGTATCCCTAAGCCTCTATCATAACATAACTCAGAGGGTGTCTAGAGGTGTCTCCCCAATAGTTTCGCTCCCCAGGGACCTAGATTGTAGTGGCCACGCCCTCGAAGTGGATGGAAGACAGCAGCTGCCGGCGATGGCGGAACACGCCCCACAACTTAATCAAAGGCAAAAAACCAACAGTTAACACCTTCCAGCGGGGTGTTGGCCAGAAACAGAAACAGAAACAGAGCCAGAAAGGATACTCTTGGCCCACTTGGCCGTCTCATTTATCAAGTGGCGAACAAACAAACACGCGCCCATTGTTATTATTGGCATTATTGCCAAAGGACCCAGAACTAAGCAGCCATGGAGCCACGCAGCCGGCAAAGAGATACAAATTGCTCAATTCAAAAATGTGTAATTTGGGGCTGTCACACTTGGCACGCCCCAAAAAAAAAAAAAAAAAAAATGCCTAGCCGTCCGACCACCATCCATTCATTGTATCACCTAGGATTGCGTGACCAAAAATTAGGGGGGGCGCCTACTAGAGAGAGGAGAGGTTGGCAGGACGAAAAGATTGCCCACGAGCACAAATAAATAATGTAATCAGCAATGAAAACGAAATGAAAGGAATCAAAGGAGCCATTAGAAGAGTCCTGCCGCATTAGTGGGAGCCTTGTGTGTGTGTGTGTGTGTGCTTCTGGGAATCCCCGCTTTAAAACTAGGAGTTTCTCTGTGTGCATACAGGACTAGGTACTCGGTGCTCGGTACTCGGTCGGGCATCATTTATAACGCCAAGTGGACTTTGGGGGGCTCGTCTTTATATGAATAAATTAAAATGTATTATTTGTGGCACTTGAGCCTTGGCTGGGTGTGGGGTGTGTGTGTTTTTTTACGTGGCCTGGTAGCCTGGTGGCCTGCCCTGCATAAAACATTAAGCACATTAAGCATCAAACGGAGCCTCTGGCACTACACCTCCGCCTCCTTTACCATTTTTTTTTTTATTTTTTTTTTGCATCAATTGAGACATTTAACAAAAAGGTCCGACATTGCCGTTTACCTTTTTTTTGGTGCGTGAGTGTGCGGGTCTGCGAGTGTGCCAGTGTGTGTGTAATGAATGTATAACACGCTCGGCCCATGCATCTCCTTTTGAAGTTCCCAGGCCCCAGACATTGTTCCACAGTGTACTGAGAGAAAGCAAAGTTTAGAGACCTAGAACTACTATATGCTAGGTCTTTCTAGTCTGAAGTTAGTTCCAAACTATTTCTAATTATTTATTAATTTTTATTAAAAATCCTACTATATCTTCGATTAATATTAAACCCATCCAATAGCCTTCGACCCACTGTCCTCCATTTTTTTGCTCCTTTCGAGAAAAGGTTTCGTTTGCGTTTTAGTGCTCAATTTTGTCTACGCTGGTCAGGCGTATGCAGATGTGTGTGTGTGTGTGTGTGAGCTAAGCACTGACCAAAGGAAGTGATCCTTCCCCCTCCTCCCTCCTGGGCAGGACTACAAAGTGAGCAGCTGCGCCCCACCACCCATCTCGAATGAAATTTTGCTTTATTTTATTTATTTTATTTTACGTTTACCCCGAATGTGCTCCTTTTTTTTTTGTGGTGCTCGTTCGGAGCTCGTTTAGACATCGTTTTGTCATTTTGTGTGTATGGGTGTGTGGCCTTAAGGACTCATATGGACACATGTGTGTGTATGTGTGTGCCTTAAATGTCAAACCCTTTTCAAAAATAGTCTGACAAAGGCCACAAAATTCGCTCGTTGTCCAGGACATTGAGGCGGCCGAGCAACATGCATCGTAAATTTTCCGCTCGTCCTTCCCTCCCTTCCTGCACACTTTCTTGATATCCTTGCGTCAGGATGTGCCAGTCGACAGACAAACAAAATTGTATTATTAACACATTCGAAATGGTCAAAGTAATGCCTGGTCAAACGTGGCTAATATGCCTAGAGATCCAACCCAGCCAGCCTTCATGCAAATTGTTTACCTTTTTCTTCCCCTTGATTCCTGGAATGCCACTGCACATTAGTCGCCAGGACACGCACGCACATTTTCCTAGGACCTCAGTGTCAATGCACTTCTGCCCCTGCCCCTGCCCCATAGGAGACAGCACTTTCCCTACCAGGCTGCCAACTGCCTGACGCAACTGCCACTTGTCTGACTTGCTGTCCCGACTGTCTCAGCTCCACTCTCTCATTTGCCGCCAGACTCTGTCCTGCCAGCTGCCATCTCCCAGCTGCCAGTTGCCAGTTGCCAGTTTCAATTTGAAACAATGTCACGCGGGTCCAAGAAAGTGCAATTACTTTCATGTTAAGGAATCGCTTAGCGAAATCAGGCAGCAGACTAGCCAGTCCTCTTCTGATTTCAGAATGGACACCAATTAAATAGTTTTCCAAATGAAACTGCCACTGGACTCGACTGGCGACTGTCTCCGCGGAGCACAAAGGAGCCAATTCCGAACTTGATTGCAGAATCGCGACTGCCACTTTCATTAATAAGCGCACTCTTGAGCAAGTCGAGGAAGCTGTTTCACAGTCCTGGATGCCCACCCTGGCGTATGCTTGATGAAAAAAGTTTAATTTAATCTGTCAACACCTCTCGCAACCAGCTTTCTGGCCCCGGAATCAGTTTTTGGCCGTAACACTAATTCAATTATTCCACATGGCGCAAAATCCGCAAAAAAAATCTGGCCGAGTCAGCCGCTGGCAGGAGCTGAGAGCTGACAGGAATTTTTTTTTGCGGCACGTCTAAAAAAATATATATGTACTCTTTAGTCCGATTAACACTGTTTGGAATGGAGGCAGGACATCGAAAAGGACACCTAAGGGTGTGGGTGGCTAGCCAAAGAAGGACTTTTCCGCCATTCTCCGTTCTCGGTTCTTTGGTCTCCTCTCTTGTAGAGCTCCCCTTTTGTTATTTTTTTGTGGCACTTTGTTGGTGTTTTGCATGTTCACACATTGACCCTTATTTTCCGCAGGACTCCCAGCCAGGATTTATGGGCATTTGAGTGTAGACGGAGCTTGTAGCAATTAGCAGGGCCAGAATAAAATATTTTGTTGACCTTATTTAAAATGTAATGACTGGCGGGCGGACGAGGAATCCTTCTTGAATTTATTTGCTCCTAGCCGGGATGGAAGGACGGCCCGAAAATAAATTACAAATCAACCGAGGGACCACATTAGTCATCGACCCCGAATCCTTGGATGGGACTCGGAGGGAGATTCATCAAGTGGATACCCAAATTATGCACAAATTAGAAATTAGACCGGAGGGTCGTTGCTTTCGGGCCCTTATCAGTTGGCGGGCAGACCGGGCGTATGAGTGATATACGAGTCCTTGATTGCAAGTGCCCCGAAACTAAACTGTTTATTCTCTCTTTGTTGCAGCTCTGTGGGCCCAAGGACACTATTAGCCTGTGAAGCTGCGAAGGAGGCGAAACAAGGTAAGGGGCGAAACAAAACGGTTTTAAGGAAGAGTCCTTTCATGTCCTGGCAGCCAATCTAATTGAATCAGCTTGGCAGCTTAATTGCCACCTTCTGATGGCGCCTGCTGATGACGTGTCCTGCCAATCGAATTCCATTTCGATGTCTTATTTAAAAGTCCTCGAATCGTCATCTTTTGCATCTGGCAGCTCGTAAAAGTCCTGTTTAATATCCAAAGTCCTTGGAAGTGCCGCGTATAATCTGGCATAATAAATATTTAGGTGTCCGGCGACAAAAAGAAGGCGATGATTGGAGCGTCTGCTGTGACGTATCTGCTGCGCGCCCCGAGGTGACTGCTGGTCAATCGTAAATCTCGATTGGCGCTTTGAATGTCGCTCCAAAGGTCCAAAGGGCCACAGCGATTCTTGTAACGATGGCAACAATGTTTGGACAATGAACGATGAACCAACGAGACGACCAGCGTCGTCGCTGTGACCTTTGAGCGGCGCAGTTTTTCGATTTTAAAATGTTCCAAGCGAACAAGTGGCAAGTGACAAGTGGCAAGTGCGGCTGCCACAGTCACCAACAACAGCAGCAACATTAAGAAAGACAGAAACAAAACATGCTGCAAACCAAAACGACGAATTTATTTGCAACACGCGCCAGTCTGGACCAAGATCTGTCGCCGCAGATAATCCCGCAAAAAGGCATTTAGTTGACTCGCCCCGACGACTCCCAGCCATTATATGCCACTATATAGTATCTGGGGAGCGACCACTCCCTCGATTTTCGAACAACCGAATGTGTGGGTAATGGTGTAGTTAGACCTGCACTCGGCCAGCCCTGTTGACAGCCATTAAAAAAGTTGTAAAGTGCTAAGATGCTCGGGGCTTGTATGCAATTAGTAGAAACAGTTTTATGGGCCCCACATTCCCAAAACATGACTGAGACTTTGGGGTCTGAGAAGCCTCAGCTGGAAACACTCGACATTCGGCACGAACTGCGGATTCCGATTCGGTGTCTTGGGAGGCGGCAACTTTTCGGCGACTTTTCAGCCTTTTTTTTCTGGGCGGAAAAACAAAGTTGTTGAACAGGAAAAGTTGTGTAGCAGGTTCTCGGTTGCCAGGATTGATTACCAGGACACTGGCCAGATGTCATCATCAAAGAGTTTCCCCCAATTCAGCTCTAGATTGCTTCAGTTTGTTATTAAAAATGTTGCCAAGCTTCCCCTAATTATGAATTTCGAGTGGACTTGCTAATTGGGAGAGTGGGGGAGTAATGGTTGCCCCGAGACGGAGGATGGAGGACGGAGGACCTGTAATGGGCCATGTCCTGGGGAGACACAACACATTAGCCGGAAGTGGCGCAAACTTTGCACTCGTGATGGACTCCGCCGAGGACTCCATCAAGCGACCAAAACTATTTTAGAGTCTCCCCCATTAGCCGCAACTGCTCCGTGCGGCCAAAGTTGGCAATAATTATCAGAGTTGGCCATGTGGCATGTGGCAGGAGGCCGGAAACGGTCTTGCTTTGGTGGCTTCACTTGCTGATGAATTCCCAGCACGTCCAGGGGCAAGGTGGCAAAGGGCAGAGAGCAGGAGGCAGGGACAACCAACAACTATTAAGCCAACTTTTTAATGCCCAACTTTTGTGGCAATGTGTTGCAAATTTTGTGGGCCGAATGATTGGCATTCCCCGGAACAATGAAACTGCAGTAATCGGGCCAATCTACAGCCCCCAAGGGCTGGCTGTGGCCTTTGTTTCTGGTAGTTCTAGTGAGTCAGAGACCCTTTCTGTCAGTGCATGCGGTAACCCCAGTTAGTAGGCCAAACGAACCCACCCCCCCACCCCATCCCATATGCTGCGATTAATAAGCCTGTTTTGTTCCGACCCGTCTCTATGATTTATAGCCGTAATTAAAATCTGTAGCTGCCGGCAGGCTGACTCAAATAAGCCGCTAAGACTTTTGTCAAAAGACATAAAGGCTGTCTGTCTGGCGGTAGTGGGAGACTAGTGGGAGACTGGCAGCTTAAAGCGCTGGCCAAACGAAAATCCTTTTATGCCGGAATTTAATTAAGCCAAATCTCCCTAAACACACACATCCGCATGTGTGCCGACACATACACACACACCCGGACTCCGCCGAGAATTCCACCAGAGCCAGTAGCGGTGGCTATGGCGGTGTCGGTGTCGGTGGGGCTATAGGGGCTTTATCCAATATTGTCTTATTGTTCCAGTGCCCCCCTTTGGCGGGGTGTCGGCTGCTATCTCTACAGCACAGCCTCCATATTTGTTGAGTGCTCGCACCGGACATGGCCAGAGACAAAAAAACGAAACAAATGGGCAAAAAACTAGCGACAGTCTGCACTGAAAAATGTTGGGATGCAGAAGCAGGGTTTGCCATCCCTCCAGTAGTAGGCCCTCCAACCAAAGTTCCAAAACCTCGGAGCTTTATCCCCTCACCTTTATTATCATATTTCATCTCATTACTCTCGAAACCCCATCCCGACCTGTTCCAGACCTGTTATTTACTCTTGTGTAGCCCTTACAATGGCCAGAAACAGTTACAGTTTCCAGCTAACAACCCGGACTAACTCAATAGAGATATCTGTGCATATCATCGCCAATAAATTGCTCGGAGCCGACTGCTTTACTGCCGCACCGCCGGTGGACGCACTCACTCTCGACTTGCACTCCTCAGGGCGTACAACACGGCGTATACGGAATATTTATTGTTTGTTTTCTTTCCCGTTTTGGCCGACTTTGTTGGCCCTGTTGTGTGGCTCGGTGCTGAAAGGTGTAAATCAAATGGCCGGAATTTTCGTATAAAAGTTCTTCGCGATAGAAGGCGATAGCCCAATAACCAGGTTTCGGGAGTGATGTGCGGGCTTGGGTCTTGGGTCTTGGGTCTGGGCCTGGGCCTGACTGAGTAATGGAATATATTATTTACGGTTTTTTGTTTCCCGCTTTACGGCTCTATTAGTTGGCGCTGGTGTGGAGAAAAGGGGGGCGTGTTTTGGGCTCAAAAACTACAAATTGTCGGCCGGGTTCGATTAGACGACGAGTCGAGTTCTGACTTTCGAGCGGTGCGGACGCGATAGTGTAGTGGCTAGTGTTTAGGACCAACTAATCCCCCAGAGCTCATAATCACTCGTAAGCCTGCCCTCATATTTTGCATAAATTCTACAACTGCCAATTAAGTGCAAAGTCTATTTCTGTCCGGACAAGGGCCGGGTCGGGCCTGCTCGGGAAAAAGTTAATAAATTCCATTTAATTGCCACCAAAACTGGAAAAAACTTGGTCCTAAGCTAGGAGGAGCTAGGACCTACGACCTGATCCGGTCGGGAGAGTAGGGGACAGGGACATCTAATTCAATTACCGTTTGCTCGGTCGTCTGCCAAGCGTCTCAATATAAAAACTCAATTTAATGGGTGCCGAGCTTGTGGTGCGTGTGAGTGTCTGTGTGGGTGTGCGAAGGAGTGTGTGTGTGTATGTGTGTGTGCATGTTTGAGGTCTCCAGTCTCCGAGTCCCTTGAAAGCCTGTCAACAACAGTCAGCGATGCGGAGCGACCAGCAAGGACCACAACAACAGCATCTTGCAGCAATATTGGCTGCCTTGGCGAGGAGAGCCCAGAGTGAAGAGGACTACGAGGACTATGAGGACTGCCAGGACGAGGACGAGGAAGAACCAAGACAGCAACAGCAACAGCAACAGTATTACGGTAAAGGAGCCGCACAAAAGCGTAAAGCCAACATGGGGAAAAAAAAGGAAACTAGATCACTTTTGGCTTCCAACGACCGCAAATCAAATGCGAGTGCCCAGGAATTCAAACAGCATCGAGTGTATTACATTTTTTTTTTTTAAACCAAAGTACTTGCTGGAGGGAATAAACTATTTAAACTGATGGACTAGATAGTGCAAGGATATGACTTCCAATCCCAAACAGCCCATAAACAATGCCAACCAGTCCCTAACTCACACGAGATTCTAAAGGAAATCCCGAGCCATAAAGCACTTGAAAATTATGAATAGATTTTTCAGCCTCGAACATAAACACAAGACCAACCAAGACCATCTCCAAGATAAACAAAGACCCGAGAATCATTTTAAATTGGTTAAGTGAACTCGCCGCCAAGAGCCGAAATAAGAGCCAAAAGACAAAGGAACGGCCAGCAGGCTCGAATGACATTTCGACAGAAATTAACAGTTCGTGGACCCAGAATAGGATTATATATATATACAGCACGGCATATACATACATACATATATACCCATAATTATGCCCACTTGCCAATGGAAATGGGAATGACTGCGGCAATGAAGATGGCATCGATGCCTTTGATGGCTTCGATGGCGACGATGCCGACGCTTCAATGAAGTGGAATCTGGAATCGGGAATCAAGAATCGCGAGCTTTGAGTCCACAATCCAGAATCAGGACTCGCTGGTGTGTACGTGTGTCCGTGTGTGTGCCATCATTCGACGAAATTTGTCACGATTACCAAACTCAATGTACACTTCACTTCAGGCGACGTCCGACCAACGACGACCGACGAGCGAGGACCGACGACCTCCTTGCCACTGACAGTGGAGGCCACAGACTGAGGAAAGACCGGGACCGACAGGGACACCAGCTGACGGATGGAACGAGAGAGGCAGGCAAATGACAACCTCAGCTGAGGGGCAGATACTGCCAAATGGCGTAATTGATTCACTTCGATTGATTTTGGCCAGCAGCTGCGTCCGCCGGGCCGAGCCGGTCTGGTTACTGACTTTTCTCGCCTCAGCCATGCCCGAACCCGCCTCAGCCGCCCCGGCTTCCCTGGGTTGTGCAGCTTTTTCAGCTTTTCATCTCACAGCTTGCCACGTACTTATGCGGCCTGCGACAAATGCTCATTATGAGGCATCAAACTAGTTAAGGCAACTCTGATGATGTGCCCGACACATGAAGGCTCCAGCACCGGGTCCTCCTCCTCCTCCTCCTCATGTTCCTGTCATTTCCCAAAGGACTTGCCCGCGTGGGCGTTGGGATAAAGGAATTTTTGCTCTCAGACCATATTTCCTTACCAGCCAGCCTTTCAAAATTCGTTTTTAATAAATTCGACACTGCGTATGAGTTATATCCTCTTGACCTTCAGAAGCTTAGAGACTCTTTATGGCCATTTTAGATTTAAAACTTTAAGGTTACTGGCTTTGAAATTCCGAATTCCTTTCATGGCCCTAATAATTGCTCTTCAGTCTATTCAAAATGCAAAGTTGCACGGCAATTAAAATTTCATAACGACTTGTGTATTAATTTCTTTGTCTACTAAATATTTTTATGATACGAAGCTGAAGACACCCGAGGGAGGACTAACTTTGGAATATTTCCTGCCCTATGGGCCCTGGGCCCTCCCCAAAGTGCCTAATTTCAAGAGACTTAATTATGATTATGATTGTCGGCGTTTTCTTATCAGGTCATTCTTAAGAGCCCTCATATTTTTCCTTCAATTGAAAAACAACAAAATCGTATAAAGATATAGAAACTCACCATAGTTTCCGTAGTTATGGGTTTCTTTAATTCCTTCCTTCAGGACAACAGGCAGGTTTAATCCATAATCCATTACACCACGCTGTTTTTTCTAAGATTTTTGAAGGAAAAATTATTAAAAAGTTTAATTATTTAATGACTATGTTTTTGCTTCTTCATAAATAGGCACAACTAACTTAACTACTTAAACTCTCACCTTTCTATTTGCTCCGCCTTGTTACTTGCTTGATACTGAGTTTTCTCAATGAACTTTAAACTAGAAAAAATATATATAAAATTTAAAGCTAAAATCAATATTGCACTTACTTGCTTACTTCCATTCCGTTTCATAGTTTGTGATTTTGGTTTTCGATGAAATATTATTATTGTGAGATTGGACACGATTCCTTGCTTTTGTAACTTCATTTCTCTATGAAGGAATTTTTCAATAAAATTTTGTACAATGAAGAAGATTCCTGTCTCTTTTCCTTTGTGAATAAGTTTTCTTTGCAAAAATATTGAAAAATAAATTAGTTTACAAGATTTTAGTGAACTTCGGTAGTGACCAGTTTCAACCCCAATATAGAGCCGTCCCGAAGGAACATATTTTCGATTTTCGGGATTTCCCCATTTTTTAAGGGGGTCCATCAGAAAAATTTGAAAAAAATCCTAAAAATTTTCGATCCTCAGATTTAAATGCAGTTTTATGGAGAATCGTTCCACGATTCCAGATCTGTATCCCTTTCAAGGATAAGTATTTCCCAAGATACAACCTTTCCAAGGGACCATATTTTCGATTTTCTAGATTTCCGCATTTTTCAAAGGTCCATCAAAAAAATTTGAAAAAAATCCCAAAAATTTTCGATCCCCAGATTTGAATGCAGTTTTATGGAGAATCATTCCACGATGCCAGATCTGTATCCCTTTTAAGGATCGGATAAGTATTTCCCAAGATACAGCCTTCCCAAGGGTCCATATTTTCGATTTTCGGGATTTCCCCATTTTTTAAGGGGGTCCATCAGAAAAATTTGAAAAAAATCCCAAAAAATTTCGATCCCCAGATTTAAATGCAGATTGAAAGAGAATAGTTCCGCGATTACAGAAAGACATCCCGTTTAAGGATCGGATAAGGCTTGCCCAAGATACGAAGTGGTCCCCTGGGAAGTGCTCAAGGATGGGGTGGATAGTTGGAAAGATGAGTCTTAGGGTGTGCCAGGCTCGGTTCTGCCCGCCAGAAGGGCATGCAAAGCTCGTGCAATTTTTCCGAGTGACTGGCGGATGATTATTATCATTTGAGCCGCTTCCTCCTCGCCGGCCGGCCTCCTCCGGCCGGGCTCATATTTATGTGGCCAGTGGGAGCTGTTGGCCGAGACTTAAGTGATTTTGTTGGCCACACGAAAAGTTGGCAGTAGCAGGACAGCTGTGAGCTGCGAACAGCGAGCTTGGCCAGCCGGCTGGCTCTTTATTTTATTTTTCTGATTATTAGTTATTATTATTCTCGTCAGTTTCTGGCGCTGCCCTCTTGCCAGTGCTATGCGGGAGGGGACGGGGGCGCCCTTCAGGTATATTTATGGTGTATTTATAGGACCGAGACGTACACAACATTTAGTTCATTGCACGACGCCTGCCATTTTGATTCGTTTCTACTTGGCTGACATCTTTTTCATGTTTACTTTTGACTTAATTAGGGAGCCATCCGAGTTTTGCCGTCGTCCCGCCGTGGCTCCGACACGTGTTGTGCAGACTCTGTAGTTCATTTCGCCCACAATTCGTGACAATATTTGAAGGTCTTCCATCTCCAATCTCAGCCTTTGTTCGACGCCCTGCCTTTTATTTCTGGGGGGCCACCGACGCCGCGACTTATGAACTGAACTGAGCAAGAATAATAAATGAAGCGCGGCCGGCGCGAGTGTTCGACTGTGAAATACGCTTTACGAAATCCCGGCAGTGCCAGAGGACCCCCCGAGATGTGCCTCATAGAGATCCGTATCTGGCACCTTTTGTACTCGCTTCTCGGAAATAGTTCCTAGTGCCATTGTTGTAATCCCTTCGAGGCGGGTCTAATGAATTATTGTAGCCTTCATAGACTGGCTGGCTGGCTGGCTGTTCTACAAGAGCTGCGTCTGGGGGGCTTCAGTGGCCAATTTGTTGAAGCAATTTATAGTGAAAGTTTTTCCTGCAGAGCCACAACAAGCAGCTGCACTGGATTTAGATGTTTTGTGCGAGTATCTCACAGATACTTTTCTTCTCGACTGCCCGTCCCTTCGACTTTCTTGGCCAACAAAAGACGGGCCAAAAGAGTGGGGTCTCGGGGCCTGGATAAATATCTTTGCATAATTAAATCCAATTGGGCGCACAACTCGCTGCTTTGTTCGCCCTCCAAACGGGCTAGGGAATGACCAAGTCAATCAAAAGTTGGCCCAAAGCAACCCAGAGGCCCCCAGTCCCAGTTCCAGACCCAGACCCAGACCCCGCAGACCAACAAAACAATAACAAAGACGGACCAAAATAAAGAACGCTTCTATTTCCAGACGCAGGTATGGAAATAGAACCGACATGGAGCGCAGAAAGCCAAGACTAATTGGACTAGCTGGCCGGGCCGGGCATAACCAATTAAATATTATTTACGCAGCGCCCTGATCGGAGCCCGATTCCCAGCCATATATCAGCTGGCCAGGTCGTAAATCGCCTGCCACCCTGACCGCCCGCTGCACCCAGCTATATATCTTCGATCCGCCCTCGGTCCGATCAGCGGCAGACATCGCTTTGTTTATCCGACTGGCCGAGAGGAGAGCTATTGACGCAATTCGATTAGCTGTAGCCGGTGGTGTCCAGTATGACCAGGACCTTCCTCTATGTAGCTGCCAGCCATGTTTTCATATTTTGCAGAAATTCATTTATTTTTGAGGTATGCGGTGGGTCAAGGGTTAGCGGTTAGTCCACAGGGGGGTGGACTCCACAGGGCATGCAATTGTTTTCGGTGCAGGGCACTGAAGTTTAGCTTAAAGCGAGCTTAGGGAATGTTCGCCAACAAGCGGGGTAGCTTTATTATTTTCCTCTTTCCGGTTCGCTCTGGAAAAATGGCCAAAGAAACAGCTCCAATCTCTGTTCAAGGGAGATACACCCACACACACTCGTGTTTAATGCAGTGGCTTGCGGATTAGAGAACGTATTTAAATGGAATGTTTAAATTGGATCTGGTCCATTGTTTGCTGCTTTCCGGCATGTAACTCTAAACCCATATTTGAATTTTGAACAACAAACTTTGCAGCAGCAGCCGAGCACCAATTTAAACTTTCAAAACAGTGTCCGGCAGTGCATCCTTTATGCAAAGAGCGCTCCCAGCCAGGTTTCCAATTACATTTTGTGCGTTTCAATTATACATTTTTGCGGCGAAGCTGTTCGTTTCGGACATTTATTGATTTTCCCCCCGGTCCGGGGCCGGCTCGACATTCCTCCGGAGTGGAGAGCAGAGTGGTCTCAATGGCCGCCGGCCATCGGAAAGGACTCTAAATTGGTTTAATTGAGACAGGAGGCAGGCGGTGGGGCGTCTAAATATCTGGCCGAAATCATAAATTCTGGCAAACACCAGCAGGGAAAACCCAAACACGCTTCTCTTCAAATCTGACTGACAGGTGGACAGGCATCTGAACTGTCTTCTGGCCTGATGGATGCTGCTCGTTATTGGATTTTATCTTCCAGACAGTGATCGGCGATCATTGGCCTTCCCCACCAGGTCGTTGCTGTCTAATTTCCCGGAAAATCGAACAGGTGATTTTTACTCCCACAGGCTGCATAACTGTTTCAATTTGGCAGCCAAGTGGCTTTCCGGGACATTAAGCCCTGTTCCACCTGCCCAGCTCCCAAGTGGCCAGAACCAGAGCCGTTGCGAGACATTAGCGGACTCTTTGTTGGCCGACCTCCCAGGACTCATCGTCAGGTTCAGGTCTGAAAGATGGCACTTGGACTAATCAATTAATCCAAACGAGTCGTTTTCTCCGGAAAGACAAGCGGTTTTCACCGGATTTGTATTTGGCCCGAAAGTTTCAGCCTAATGCTTCGAGTTTGAAACAAATTATATTTCCGTAAGCTCGTCTCGCTTTAAATTTGTGTTTAACTTTCGCACACATGTTTGTGGTTTGCGGGAGGAGTGCTTTTTCCCCACTTTCCCCAGCATTTTCCTACCATTTTCCACTTTCAGGCAGCCTGGCTCGCAGCCTGGCTCACAGCCTGGCTGCTTGTTTGCTGTTTGGCTCTGCACTCAGTGCGCCAACACTTTAGCCACTTTTCAATGGAGGCGGCCCAAAAGATTTAGCCTGGCTTCTGGCTGCTCCTCCCACGCCACCCACTCCCCCGCCTGGCCCCCGCTCGTGGCATGGGAGGCATGAAAAACTCGTACATTTTCTACAAACATTTGGCAAATTGTTATAGAAAAAGCTCGTCGCACACATGGGAATATATGCATGTGCGGCGGCTAGTACACATGTGCTGGTTTTGGATAAATTTGGTTGCGAAACTCGACTACAACATATGTTAACGACGCATTTGCCTTGGCTGCCTTGGCGATGCTGGAGGATGTCTGCAGGACGTAATCGGGGCGTCTCTGCTGTCTCGTCCCGACAGGACACCCTATGGCCCATGAAAGGGATGTTGAGGCTCTCCTTTAAAGACTAATTCTCATAGTTTCTTGATGAGTAATGTCTTTAATTTAAAACTTAACCCATTATCCTGTTTGTAGAGCATTTACTATTCGATGAGGACTTTTGGAAAGACTCCGCACGTGCCTTGGCTACACTCATACAGTGAAGTCTGCCCACTCACACACTATACTTTAAATTCCTATTACATAAGGCGTTGGCTTGTGATGTGCAGGAATCTCTTCAGGACTGTCATTACGGGCCTGGCCAGAGGAGACTTACTGATACCCGGTACTGTCAGAGGCAGAGACATAGACTTTATTCTTTATTGAGTGCCGGAATGGCCAAGGACACAGCGTGATAGCTGGCCCACCACTAGTCGGGGCAACCTGCAGAGCCGCCTTGCCACATAATGCTGCACGGCTGGCTAAATAGATTTATAAATCTGCGGAATTGCGTTTGCCGGCATTTATAATTTCGTTCTGCGAATAGTGGCGCCGCATTAAATATTAAAACTTGGTCGCAGGCATCTCCACTCCAAGGTGACAGAAGGAGTATTCTCCTAATCTTCACAGGCATCTTCTCTGCCATTGGATCAACCAGTGGCTCAAAAACCCACATTTGTTTGCAGATTCCAGTCGGAAGAGGGAGCCAATCGGACTCTTATTCTGTCATCATCGGAGTCTGGCTGGCTGTCTTCTGGGTCGGCCATTTGCATATTTCGCCAGAGCCACAGTTAGAGCCAAATCTGAAGGCTAACGGTAACGGTGGCCCTAACTGTAACTGTAACGGTAACTGGAACCGTAACGGTAACCGTAATGGGGCAATGCTTAGGGCCGTGGCTTTAGCGGCGGCTTTGCGATGTAAATGCGTGCCATTTGAAATAACGAACTGCATTCCACACGCACCTCCGCCCCCAAAGGCGCCACATATAAATAAATACTCTCGCTATATGCGATATATATTTAAATTCGGCTGTCCTCGAGCCCTCAAGGGTTTGTTGAACCGCCAGTGGCGGGCCATTTCCACCTTTATTCGCATTTAAATGCGAGCTTCAACCAGCTCGAATACGGAGCGCTTTCGACTTCATTTCCGGCGCGGTTATCCCCGAGCCAGAGCTACGAGGTTTACGGCTTTGTGGCATTCGAATTGAATTGCTTCCAAGACGAAGGACGAAGCTTGGAGGACGATGTAGCTGCCTTGCAACAGCTGCAATGACTGCTAGAATAATACAACTCCCCTGCCAATCCTGAATGATTCATTTTCGGCAAACTGCAGTCGAACAGGCAGGCGGCAGGTGCAACACTGCGGATGAGCAATTTCTGTTCAGGACTTCCAGCAGCTGAGGATTATGATTCGTAATGGGGGTTTTAGAAGCGCCATCTATGGGCGGCGTTGAGTTGCCTCAAAAATTAATCAGGTAATGCTACTTAAACCCAAGAAAGTGTGCCCTAAGCGGCTTTTCCCCGAACGGCGAGTGAAGTGTGACTATGGAGCCCAATAGAAAGAGTCACTTTTGTTCCTGAACACCCCGAAGTGGGAGGCTCCCATGTCGCGGCAGACATCTAATCCTTTTTATGGGCCCCAGACACGCAAGGTGCCGCTAATGCCGACTGGAGGGGCCTTCGAAGGGCTCCAATTTGTGTGCGGCGGCTTATCACTTATCTAGCCCGGCTTTCACGAGACTTCTAGCCTTGTTGCCTCCTAGCCGGGGATGTGAGAATCTGGGTAGCTGGCGTGGGGGTTCCGCTCTGGATTTTTGGCCATTAGAGAGAAACGCGAAAAGCCAGGATTCAGCGATGCGTGCAGAGTGGCCGGCAAAAGTTTTTGGGACTCCTAGGACTGCCAGAGGCTGCCTCAAAAGAGGAAGGGGGCGAGCGTGGCAGAGTGGCAGAGTAAAGCCGCCTAGCCAGAGGCTGGCCTGCCATTGTACTGCGATGATGCCTTTTTATTTTAATTCCCAAATCGAAAAAGTTTCGCTATGGCGATTACGCCGAGGAAACTCTAAACGCTCTAAGCTATATGCTCGTCGAGTCCTCTGGGGGAAGGAGGGCTCTATCGGGAGGGTCCATCAGCCGGGGCAGGGGATGCAGCGTATGTGAACTACTAATTCAACATGTCTGGGAAGTTTCTTCCTTGGCGCTGGCTTTAATGTCGCTGCTTTATCTTCCAGCCAGCCCAGAGCCCACAGCCCAGAGCCCGCAGCCCAGAGCTCATTTCGTATGCTCGCCGGGAAAGGCGGAAAATCCTTCCCGGGGATGGGGGCAGCCCTTGAACGATTACAAATGATTAAGTCCACAAGACCACAGACCAAGTCCGGCTGGAAGTGACAATAAATGCAATTTGTGTCTCTTTCCCGGGAGGAAGTACTCCCGTTTTTGGCTCAGTGTAGTGACTTGGCATGCCGGCGGAATGAAAATGAGCCACATTGGATTCCCCAAGGCGCCTCCCGACTGTTTATTATTTCGGGTATTAATTATGTCGAGTTCGGCCTGCATGTTCTCCTCGCAGCCATCGGCTGTGAAATTTATTCATTGCACTTTCCAAAAGAAAGCGAAGAAAGTGGAGAAAGTAGAAGAAAGAAAGCAAACATTACCAAAAACAAAAGCGAGACAAAGGAGATGGAGATTATGTCGCCTAAATGGAAAATGGAAAATGGAAAATTACTTAAGCCATTCGAGGGAGTCCCATGCCAGCCTTGCCTTTCGTTCATCTGGCCCTGGGGCCACGCCCCCTCAACACACACATACAACACATACACACACACTGAGCCTTTGAGGGAATTTTCTCTGTTTTTTGTTTCCATTTCTTTGGCTTCTTGGTAAAAAGTACAATTAAGTTCATCTAGCAAGCATCTAGTTCATCATCTAGTTCATCTCTTCTGCCCCTGCCCCTGCCCGCTTTTCCGAGTTTTCCGACGACATCGTTCTATTTGATCGACTTTTCTCTTTTTTTTTTTGGCTAAAAACATTGCCGTTGGCCTATTTGTTTTAGCCAACAACGGCAGGAGAGGACGGGTAATGTTGCTTTCCATAAACGAAAATGGAATCAACACACACGCGGCCCTAAAGTGTAGCACTATTTTTAAAATCTATTTAGCGGGAAAGAGCGCCATCGACAGCTGAAGGCCTTGACTTGAATTGCAGGTTCTTGGCTTATCTGAGGTGGGCCAGGTTTTTTGGCCAAAAACCACGACAGTCGGTACTCATCAATTACCTCTGGTAATGCCGGAATGATGTCGCCTCTTCGGGGAGGACTCTTCTGGAGGAAAACTACTCTATATTGGAAATTCATTTGGCCAGAGAGATGTCCTTGCCAGGACAAAGATGCCCAGCAGGCGAATGGCTGGGTGGGAGTGGCTGGGTAGTCGGAAGCAGAGGCATTTTAATGGCAGTTTTAGTTCCACTAATCGCTTTATGATGCTGACTTGCCTATGGATGTGCTTGTGGGTGTGTCTGTGTGCTGGTACGTGTGAGGACCTCCTCGAGCTGGAGGGTGTGTTTGAGTGTGGCTGCTTTTTGCAAGAGATTCGCATCTGCGTGTCCTAGTTAAAGTTTTCCATCATCGCCTCACGTAGTAATGGATCAAAGATGGCGGCTAATGTCTACCACGATGAGGCTAGGAAGTGGGAGAGCCGCTTGGCGGAGTCTCGAAGGACCATATCCAAGGCGCAGATAATTAGCGGGTTATGCAACTGGTTGGGAAACTTAATTTGGGGAGTTGTGAGATGGACTTCCTGGGGATTATGTAATCATAGCACACAGAAAGGTAGAAGTTTTCTTGTTAAAAAGGACTACGTTCAAGGTCCTCTGCCCCTGCATTTGAAGTATTAATATTTTAGTTATTTGGCTGCTAACCGCATTTTGTGGCTGCCACATGTCACCTTTCTACGTCCCACACCCTCCCCCATTGAGAGCCAATTTCGAAGAAATGCAAATACCAGGGAGAATGCCAAAGGCTGTCAATGGAGAAAGTGGGAGAAAGTATGCATTTGAAGGACGAGTGATGGAAGTTTCCATTCCCATTCGCAATTAAACGAATGTCGGATATCCCAGTGCCTTGATGGTTGCATTAGCTTGTCCTAACTGTACCCGACAGACCCTGATCTTGCATCTGGCATTTAGCGTTTGGAAAATGGTACTTGCTCCCCCGAAACCAGGACATTTGATTCCGCGCTGATTGGCAAGTTGATTATTCAGTTTGTCTGATTTTGCTGTTTTTTTCCAGCATCCAGCATCCTGAATGCCCTTTTTAAATCCGCACCAAACTAGCTGGAACTAATTCAATAATTCATCCAATTGAGCTCCATTGTGCCAGGCAGTGGCATTATTGATGAGATCGACAATTTAATTCTAAAACAAATAACTGCCACGGCAGCAGAGCAGAGTCCATAAATTAAACGGCCGCCAGCAAATCCCAGTTGAATGCCAAACAAAGGATTATCCAATCGAACTAAAGCGCTTTTAAATAATAAACATTCCACTGGCTCCGTACTGGCACAACTTGTGTGGCATTAGTCGTGTTCTACAAGTCTTTAAAAAAAAAACACACGCACACAGAACACAGAATCCACAATACAGAAAATATGGGCCATCGCATTCAATTTCCCTCTTTCTTCGGAGACATCGCCGGCGACCCCTGACCCTTGGCCCATTCTTCTGGCGGCGCTTATGTGGGTCAAAGGAAGCCAAAGCAGAGAACCAAAGTTTGGGTCGCCGGATTGGAAAAAATAAAACCATTAAAAGGCAGCATAAACATGACACAAACATGCGGAATGCTCTGTTATTAGTTGGCTCCGAGATCGAGGACCAAGTTGCCACTGCCCGTTTCATATTGTTTACGGCCGAGCTGCCAGATAACTGGGCCAGGAGCCAGGTCTTATCTCCCAGAGGGACTGGATTCTGGCCATCACTTTGCTGATTGAAACATTCAGTTACCGCTTCCCTCCACTCCACTCTATCAATCATGGACTCTGCTGAGAGAATCATAACCAATTTAAATATTCGAACAGAAATCGAATCTTTTTTTGTTTTGCAAACCTTTCTGCCAAACCGAAAATCGCTCAAACAAATGAAGGCTGGCCTCCTGGGCCATGTCGGACAGTGCCACAAAGTTTCGACCATTGAACGAGAAACTGGCTAACAAGTTGCCAAACAAATCAGGGTAGCTCCTTAGCCGTAATACACTCGTGCTTTTAGTCCCATAAGGGGGAGTGGGAGGTCTGAGAATTGAATCAAATAATACTAATAGCATCCTTTGAACGTTCTATCTTTGCAGTGAAAACTAAGCTCCTGGTGGCTATGAACTCCAACTAGATAGCTCCAACCTGAGAAAAAAGGAACACCCAGCCCAGGGTTAGAGATGTCCGACTGGCAGTCTACCGTCTAAGTGACTTCCACTCGATTCCCAGCCAGTTGCCGATCTTCAGCATGGACAACAGCTCCGCCGCGGCGGGCTCCGCCACGGATGTCCTCTACCAGTGGAGCGCCAATGCCGCTGCCTCCGCTCGGCTTGCCCCCTCGGCCACACCCCACTATGCGGGCTTGCCACTCGGAGGTAGGATGGCCGACTCCGTGGACGGAGGCCAGTACTTCATGGCCGTGCAGAACGAGTCGCAGTACGACTACGGGAACGAGAGCCTGGACTCGGCCTCCTATCAGCAGACGAACGGCGAGCCGTGCCGGCAGATGGACGGCAACATGACCTACTGGAACCTCACCTGCGAGTCTCCGCTCGAGTACGCGATGCCCCTCTACGGCTACTGCATGCCCTTCCTGCTGATCATCACCATCATCTCCAACTCGCTGATCGTCCTCGTCCTGAGCAAGAAGAGCATGGCCACACCCACCAACTTTGTGCTAATGGGTAGGTATGAGTCCTTCGAAGGACCTTCCAGATCAATAACTGACGTAGCAATGCCAGAATACAAACATCAGTGGGGTGTCAGGTGCAAGTTCAAGTCGTGCTGTCGTGCCACATGCAACTGTTGTGTCTTCCGGACAAGGTCACAGGAGACGGCCCTCCACTGGCTGCTCTTCGGGGAATGGCGCCCCTTGCGATGCTCCTCATTCAGACGCCGCCTTTATGATTATTATTTATTTTTATTCCATGTCATTGCGAGCCCCGCCCCTCCTCGGAGCGGGCTTAATGTGCCACAATGTTAAATCAGGCAGAAGTTTTGTGAGATTTCAAAATAGCTGGCAGTGTGCGTGCTCCGGCCCCTGGACCGCCTTAACCCGCTGGGAGCCGCTCAGGCCGCGTAATGCTGAGATATTCTAATAGCGTGTGTAATGCTAATGGCTGTGTGCGCGGAATTTGCCGCTGATTTATGAAAAAGCCTGCTATGCTTCCATTCTGCCACTCTTCCACTCTGCCAGGCTGCCAGTGAGTGGCAGTAAGTGGCTTACAAGGAGGGGGGCTGACAGGGGATATGCTGTTCTCCATGAAATCCCATCGAAATCGAAACACTCGATCCAATTACAAAGTGGCGGAAAGTTAAAAACAAAGTTTACATTTTAAACCAATTCCTATGCTCGAGCGGCGACGGGCTTTGACTGTCAATGGGTTAACCCCTGACCTCCCTGCGAGGCCCCGGGCCAAGGCTAATCGCATCAAGTGGAATGGTCGATCCCTACGTGCTTTTGGCACAAAATAGTTCCTGCATAGTCTCTCAGTGTAGGCAAAGGTCATCAGTTAGTCAGTCAGTCCAGTAGACATTCCAAAACATTATAAAGCTAACGCATTAGGATCTGTTTATTTTAGAACTCTGAAAAGACAACAAGACCCGCACAGCCGGAGCATGTTTATGATAAACAAATTCGGATTATGCCAGATGTGTGTCCACACAAATATTTACTTGACGCTCAAAACCTGGTCTCTGCCGGAAATGTCACAAATAATTGATCGGTGGAGGGATTATCGATTGCGGGTCGGAGGAACCAAAACATCCAGGACAGTATTGTCCAGGACAACAGCAACACTTGGCTGCGCCTAATGTCCAATCACACAATCAATTTACATTGAAAATCGCTATGATTTGCATAGCCATTACCATAATTTCTAATTCCAAACAGCCATCTCTTTCTAACTCTGTACACCTATCTCTCTCTATCGTTATAGGCATGGCTATATGCGATATGCTGACGGTTATATTTCCGGCACCGGGACTATGGTACATGTACACGTTCGGCAATCACTACAAGCCCCTGCATCCGGCCTCCATGTGTCTGGCCTACAGCATCTTCAACGAGGTAAGTCAACGTAGGCTTCACTGTAGCCCACACTGAGCGAATTAAGGGGAGGGTGGAAGATTATTTGGAGCTTCAATGGAAATCATACTTTTGCCTACTTTTAGGCTTTTCTCTCACTGCCCCTTGACTCCCGGTGCTGTTTTCGTCACAAAACTAATTGCCAAGGCTGGCCGGGCCAAGTGGGAAGAGCGGAAAACTGTTTGTTTTGGCTTCTGGCCACGTTCCGGCCTCCACCTTCTCCCAGAAGACGCGCCACGCCGCTCATTGACCTAAATAAAATGCTTGGCTGGAACTTTTGCGCCACCCGCCACCCTCCACCCTGCTTTCACTTTCACTTTCACTTTGTGCTTCCGTTACTGTTGCCTTTCCTTTTGTCTCCGACTGATGTATGATGCTTTGTTTGTATCCCGTCGCGTTATCGTTATCGTTATCGCATTTGATGCCACGTTACGTTCCCAGTTCGCCAGTTCCCTATTTGCGTCCCTTTGTGTGTGTCACTTCTGTCAGCATAATGAAAGAATGAAAGGCGCTGCTAGTGCCACTTGCCACTTGCCGCCTGCCGGCTGCCGGTTGCTGGTTGCCACCTGCTGCCCCCCATCCACAAATCGCAGTAATCCACCCACCCACCCATCAGCCCATCCATTCAAAGCACTTATTCATTTGAGAGCGTTCCTCCACCATTACCATGCAAACTCTGGGTCGCCCATGCCCCCCCGAACGCCTTGATTAATCAACATTTTCAATTTATGGCACTCGTAACGGGAGGGGGAAGGGGGGCGAAAGCAAAACTGTTTACTCACTTCAACGGAGTAGTGTCGGCTTGATAAAGCGCCACTGCCACTGCCACTGACGCTGCCCTACGCCCCCGACAGCCGAAAACAGTGGCACAGTGGTTTCAGATCCTTTGCGGTCTTGGGGATATCCTCCAAATGGCAAACATCATCTCTGATTGCGAGTCCTGCCACCACTGTACTGGCTACGTGCTGTTAGTGGACTCTCAGGGGATTTGTACCAGCCAAGTTCAAGCTGAGATGTCCTAGATGGCTGGCTGGCTGGCTGGTAGGCTTCTAGTAGGGGGAGGAGGACTACTATCTCCGAGTATGACTGCCATAAAATTCAACTCACATCCACATCCACATCCTCAACTCCATATCCACATCCTCGTTTGGTAATAACCGCCAGGCGGCCATCGCAGCCTCAAAGTTGAAGATTTCATTTCATTCTTTGGAATTTATACGTTCCAGCAGCACGTTCGCCCCTTTCTCCGGTCGTGCTTTGCTTTCTCTGCTTTCTCCCCTTTGAATGGCGCGCATAATGGCCATGTTAATGTAACGAGAAAGGGGCCAGGAGTAGGGGGCCAGGGGCAGGGGGCCAGAGGGCCAACCATTTCATTGTAAAGTACTACGTACAGAGGTATCTGTCCATGTCCGTGTAATTGCAGCGGAGTCAGACACATAAACCGGATTAGGCCACAGATTGTGCATTATATGGCCAAGCTCAATGTCAAACGCACAGCCACAGCTACGGGCCAGATACACAGATACACAGATACTACACGGCCGACAGATACAGCTACAGCTACAGATACAGATACTGATTCAGAGAGTGCGGTGCTGAGTGCCTGTCTGCCACAGAGCCACACTCATTATGCTCCATAAACGGAGCAGACACCTGTCGTCCTCGAAAATGTTCAAATGGCCAGTTGCCAGCAGTCTCGGTCCGTACTGCCAACATTCCGGCCATCCATGGAGCTCTGGTCTGGCTAATGCAGTCAGAGGGCCACAGTTGGCCAAATCTGATTTGTGGCAGAAGGAATAAGCAATTGCTGTCGGACTTGATGGCTGGAGTGATGTTTGCCTCGCATGACCAGGAGAGGTTCCTTGACATGCGTTTTTTATGGTCCATAATCGCCTGTAATTGTAGAGTCCTTGCCGGCAATACATTCCTTCTTAGAGTCGTGTGCCAACTTCTGAATCCTTTCATCTTAATTATTGCGCTACACCCCTCCCTCCAGCCCCCGAGAAAGTTGTACGAAAAGTCAAACAAGAAAGTTATTTCCAGAGCTCCGACTAATCCCCACACATCGCATATTCCCTCTATAAGCTTCTCATTCCACTGTGTCCTGTGTTTACTTACAGATTATGCCAGCCCTGTGCCACACCATCTCCGTTTGGCTAACTCTGGCCCTCGCCGTGCAAAGGTAAATATGCAATTAGGCGGATAACACCAGGCCCGCCCTTCTCTGGTTGAGGTGTAACTAAGGTGTACCAAAATGTGAGACTGACTGACTGACTAACTGACTGACTGACTCACTCGTTGACTTGTCAATGGCGGCAATAAATCAGTTTTTGTGGCAAAAATAAAATGTCAATGCCTTCGCGCCGCCTTGGGCATACAAATTATGGCAAGTGTGAGACCTCCATACAGTATATAAGGTACAAGGTAAACAAATGGCTCTCCACCATCCCTCTACGAGTGGGCCAACGCTGCGTATGAGTGATGCGTATGAGTGATGCGAGTTGTTCCTCCAAGACAGCCAGACAATCAATCGATTTCCATCGAAAACAGGTAGAGAGGAGGAGTGTACAGTTTTCAGCCCCCGAACTTGGAGCTCTCAAACTCTTTAAAAATTGGCCAGCCCCCGGCCGCTAATGTGAATCCATAAATAAGCCCACTAATTCAGAAAACAAACGACTATAAATATTTCATAGACGCGCAAAGAAACCGAGAACGGTCCAAAAAAAAATTGAAAGGAAAACAATAAACTAATTTCGAATATACTATTCGAACATAAATTTCCACCGTTTCCCTGTTTCTCATAGAAATAAAATTCCTCTCAAGGGTCGGCCGCATTGTTCTATTAACTCATGTGTGGGATCATAAATTTTACAGCTTTGCGAATAAATTCGCCAAGTGGGGGGACGGGCCTGGAGAGGCTGCAAAAAATAACCGAATATACCGAAAACTCTACGAGAATAGTCATAAATATCAGCGCCATTATGCGACTTTGGGCCGTTCTCGAGTGGTCGCCGCTGAAGTGGGGCAGTAGTAGGGTTGACAGTAGGGTGGTGTCACTGCTGCACCACCAAATAGCTAAATAATAACGTATATGTATGTGGGCCGTAACCACCGTCACTGCCACTGCTCTAGAGCCAGGACTCTGGCCAGGACGCTTTCTAAAATGCGTTGAAAATCGCCCGAGGACAAACAGCGCGATAAAAACATTCAACGTTTATTGTTATTATTGTTATTGTTGGTGCCTCTGCCTCGTGCCTCATGCCTCTTGCCTCTGCCTCTGTTGCTGTTGTCAACTTATTGTATTTCAAGTGTTTTTATGGCCTCTGCCAAGGGGGCGGGGCAGGACAGACGGGAGGGGGGCCAAAAGGCAGGGGTAGGCGGGAAAGTGGGTCGTCAAATAATGGCCTGGAGTGGCTCGAATGAACTCGCCGAGTGAGTGACGCTCTCCATAAAAATTTCATATTACAAAGAAGCACACAAATTTATGATATATAGAGGTAGACTTTTGTATGCAGCCCCAACGACAGCCCCTCTCGGCAAGGAAGGGTTGAGGGCCACAGGATCCATCCAACCATCCAGGGCACTATAAATATTTAATGTCTTCCTTATTAGTTGTGTGATTGAAATCACTTGATGGCTAAATACCCGCCAATTATTGGTGGTAGTTTGGTTACTTTCTTCTGGAGGCAATTGAACTATAAGGAGGGGATACAGCTTGGAAGATTCTATTAAACAAGCTTCTAAAGAAACTTAGCCTCTAACTTACAGAGTCCTAAAACCTACTCTCCCAAGGACCTTCTCTCCGTTAGTACCGGGTATCATACAGTCCAGAACATACAGCCCCCTGCCAACTAATCCCCAGAGAACTCTTTCGTTCAATGGCTCAAAATTTTGCTACTTGATTGATTTATTGTGTCGCTTATTTCGACTGGGGGATTCGGGACGGGTTGAGGGTTGTTTTCCTTGGGGCTTTAACAGTTTGGGGTTTTGTGTTTTGGTTTCCAGAGGGCCATCCTTTTAGGACAAATTAACTAAATTGTTAAAATGACAACGAAAACGAGACGGGCACGAGCGAAAGGGCACGACATAAGCCAGCTAAATGTTATTCATTTATTAATATCAATGCCATTTAGGGCTAAACGCCCGGCAATCGTGGCTCGGTGTTCACATCTCGTCCTCTGGCCCGCATCCTTGAGTCCTTGCTCCTCGGTCCTTGGTCCTTTGTCCGGACCAAGCGCTGTTTTCGTTTCGGTTTTCGCCGCCGCCTCCATTTGTTTTTGCTTTCAAGTTTAATGAAATCCCCGCTTGACAAAGGTTCAATGAAAGATTGATTGAAAAACATTTTCGAGTGCCAGCGCAGTGGGCGTGGTTATAATTATGCGCATAAATTAGGACATCGCCGAGGTCCTTTTGGCTTAAAGGGCGAGGTATGGGGGAGCTCTTGGCCAACTAGTCGCCAGAGCCAGAGGAAACTTTTGGCAGGATTTGATTCTCGGTTTTCGGTGCCGTAACAAATTGGCCAAATTATGAAATTATAAAGCGCCGACTTGATTAGCCCTCCAGATTGGACCTGATTGCCCTTCCTGGAGGGCGACATTAGGATTTCGGCAGATTCATTGTCACCGCATTGCGATCGTAAATTTCCACCTGGGGAAATTGGTTTATCTCCGTCGACATTGCCATAAAATTGTATTAGCAAGCGCGCTTAGACGCACAAGCTCGTTAACGACAGAGTGGAGAGGCCACCCCAGCCATCCCAGGTGCCATTCGAGTAACAACTGCTTAATGGCCCTCAGATAAGCTTTTCATTTTCGCGAAGGCACCGATCACCAAAGCCCATTACTTTGCCGGGAAAGGACATTTCTTACAGAAGGACATATTGCAAGGACAGGAAGGGAGGACAGGCCATCACAGGGATGGGAATAATGACTTACAAATCCCCCAAAACAAGAACTTCTAACTCCATCACCTTTTAAACTCTCTCTCCCTCAGATACATCTACGTCTGCCATGCCCCCATGGCCAGGACCTGGTGCACCATGCCCCGTGTGAAGCGCTGCACCTTTTACATCGCCCTGCTGGCGTTACTCCACCAGGTGCCCCGGTTCTTCGACCGCACCTACATGCCGCTCTACATCGAGTGGAACGGCGAGGAGACGGAGGTATGCCACCTGGAGACGTCGCTGTGGGTGCACGAGTACATTGGGGTGGATCTGTACTACACGAGCTACTATCTGTTCCGGGTGCTGTTCGTCCACCTGCTGCCGTGCATCATCCTGGTGACGCTGAACATCCTGCTGTTCGCGGCCATGCGGCAGGCGCAGGAGCGGCGCAAGCTGCTCTTCCGCGAAAACCGCAAGAAAGAGTGCAAGAAGCTGCGCGAGTCCAACTGCACCACCCTGATGCTGATCGTGGTCGTGTCGGTCTTCCTCCTTGCCGAGATCCCCATCGCCGTGGTCACCGTGATGCACATCGTCAGCTCGCTGATTATCGAGTTCCTTGACTACAGCCTCGCCAACATCTGCATCATGCTGACGAACTTCTTCCTGGTGGTCAGCTACCCGATCAACTTTGGCATCTACTGCGGCATGTCGCGCCAGTTCCGGGAGACCTTCAAGGAGATCTTCCTCGGCCGGCTGGTGGCCAAGAAGGACAGCTCCACCAAGTACTCGATCGTCAACGGCGCCCGCACCTGCACCAACACCAACGAGACGGTCCTCTAGTAATTGGTGATGTTGGTGCCGCGGCGGGGCAGCAGCGACCACCGTCGCACCACCTGCACCAGCACCACCATCCATGCTCCCGGCGGGTGCGGGGGCGCGTCCAGTGGTGGCGGCGAAGGTGCGCCGCAGCACCAGCATCTGCTAACAACCCAGCGGCGGGTCAGCACCATGGACATCATAGCCGAGGAGCGGAATGTCTAAAGGGTGTCTGATGATGCCAGTTACCTCTTCCCATCCCAGCATCCCAGGATCCCAGCTTGCTACCCAACAGAGCTATAGAAATCGAAAGCCAACTAACCCACAATCCTCTCAAGAAACAGTCTTAGAAATGTAAGAAAAGTTGAACTCACCCCTCTGTCGCATTTTCCTGCGAATTCCACAAAGTCCTCAGCGGGACTTGAGCCGGAACAGGACCCACAAGTCAGGTTTCAGGTGGGAACACTACAACTCATCCAGTCCAGGTCTAACTAAAGAAATCTGAAATGATAAGCAACCTTGATCAATGTTAGATGTTATAAGAGTAATACCAACCACCCCCATAGATTATAGATCCTAGGAGCAGGCTGGACAATAGTCCCCTTATAAGAAGGTATAACAACATCCCCGAATATCCCTCTTTGGAATCTAGGTGTTCTTGTCCGTTGATGTCACATACTCCCCACATAGTGTGGCGGTTAAGCTAATAATAGTTATAGGTCTTTGTTGTAGAGCTCTGGAGCAGACTCTTGCGGTGGTGGTCGGTCGGGGAGAAGGGGGGGACTCAACTTTCCAAGTGATACTGGCGGGGGAGTGTGTAATTTAAAACAATAACTTTACTGTAATACCTAGGAGTAATACCTTGAGAATACTTACAGGAAGCTCGAGAGTCGCAACTGTCGGACTAGCATACTGAGATTAATCAATTAATCAGTGCTACTAGTGAGGCATATTAGTGTTAAATGGCCCGTTTGTAAAATATTTTTGTAACTCTCGATCAGCGTAAGGTATAGAGTTCGTGTTTAAGTGTAGCTAGCAATCTAAGGACTCGAGGATGAGGAGGAGGAGCACGTGGCCCCAACTCGTTTAGGTCCGTAAACCCAGTCGAGCCCCGTGGCGTTTACCGATTTAAATGAAAGGAGGATCCAAAACACACATCACACAGACAGGTAGACAAGGCCTCCAATCAGTCATACCGAATTTCAAGTTGATGTTTAGGCTAAGCGGTAACCCACATGTTTTTTTTTCTAGTGTAAGCAATTGGGATTCAATGTTGATATGTGTACAAGTATTTTACAATTACAGATTACAGATTACTGATTACTGATTACAGATTACTGATAACCAGATTAAAGATTACTGATTACAATTGCAGTTTCCAGTTTGAATGTTCTAAGTGTACGAAAACTAGACTAAAATGAACTAAAAAACCACAAAAAACAAAAACCAAAAACTAAAAAACCAGAAACCTAAAACCGAAACTAAAAGAGTTCAACTAAAAACTAAAAAAACTATAAACTATCTCTAAGAGTTTGTCTGAATGGAATGTGCTACCTACGTATTTACAAATATCTACATACTATATACTATATACTAGTGCCGTCGCCGTGTTTCCGACTCTGATTACGGGTTTCGTTTTGTTTTTGTACATATTCCGGCGAAGCATCCGATGGTGAATAAATAATCTCATTAAATGTCACCCAGCCACTGCGTTTCACTTTATTTTTTTTTCCCCAGACTTGTAAATAGGGGGATTCCATCGATCAGTAGAGCCGGCACGGTTTCCTCGAAGCCCGGGGGGAGGCCGGACAGCCGAAGGCCTCCAGGAAGGGTGGGAACATCTTTACCGCATCGTTCACCCGCCGCCGGTCGCTTCCGTGGCGGCTGCTATGGTCCCACCAGCGCTCGTCGGAGCAGAAGAACTGCGCCATGTTGAGGAAGAAGAGCTGTCGCTGCTGCGGCGACTGGGAACCGGTGCGGTTCCGTTTCCGGTCCGTCTCCGCCTCGTGGAAGTAGGCCGAGTACGCCAGCTCCAGACCCATGGCGTCGGCCAGCTTCTCCTCGGAGTACTTCGGCCCGAAGCGGTCCTCCACGCACTCCTCCGCTCGCCGGAAGGACTTGTTGCGGCGCAACTCCTTGATTACGCCGGGGTGCAGGTGGCCGCGCGGGCTCCGCCCCACCTCGTGGAAGCCGAAGCCGTGGGTCAGCTCGTGGCCCAGGATAAAGCCCAGGGAGCTGTAGGTCAGCAGGTCAGACTGGTTGCGCTCGTAGAGGGGGCTGGCGAGCAGGGAGAGGGGCACCACCAGCATATTGGCCCGCGGCAGGAAGAAGGGCGAGGCGAAGCTACCGTAGTTCCGCCGGTCGATGGGCAGCCACCACTTCCGCATCTCGAATCTGGGAGAGATCGAGTATGGCAGTGCTGCCGCCATTCCATAGATGGTTAGAAGATGCTCCAGGTTGCCAAAGTGGTCTGAGGCGTTAAGCTTGATGAAACGGTAGCGCTCCGCGATGGTGGAGACCTTGTCGCCCCGTTGGGGCAGGACGCTGAGGCGGAGATGCATCCGGTCGAGCTTGGCCAGCAGGAAGGCCTGCACCTTGGCGGAGAACTCGTTCCGGTTGGCCCGCAGCTTCTGGCCGAAGCGCTGCTTCAGCTCCCCGAACAGTCCTTGCAACACCGGCTCCTCCTGCAGTCTGGGGTGATGCTGCTCCATCAGCCAGACAGCGGGGTGGCCGAGGAACTCGCGGGCCTGCTGGGCGCAGTCGTTGCGCTCGATGGCCCATGGCTGGATAGACTCTGGACTCGGGATCAGGCTCAGACGCAGGTAGATGTAGCGGAGCAGGAACTGGATGGGGCAATAGGAGAGGACCAAGACCATCTGCTTGAAGTGCCAGACATCGGGGTTGCGGGCGGGCCAGGGAAACATCCAGTATGCGGGAGGTCCTTTCAGAATATTGAACGCCTCCCCCTGTCCAGCATCGAGAAGTTCCTTTTCGAGGGTGGTCACGCTGCTCCAGAAGCTCTCCTTGTCCTCCAGCTCCGCCGCCGGAAACTGCTTCCACAGGCGATCAAACTCCTCGCGGGTCATAGCCTCCCTGCGGGTCTCTTTCTCGTCCCAGTCCACGTCGTAGCGCACTATCAGGTCGACCCACACCTTCTGCATGTCCGCGCTGTGGAGATCCAGAAGGATATGAAGGCGGAAGGCAGCGTTCACTCCTACCGTGAGGTCGGCCCGACTGGCTTCCCGTTTCCGGATGATCCAACCCAGCACCTCCATTGCCCGGACCACCGTCTGGTTCACTCTGCAGGCAGCGTAGTAGTCCCTGACGAGCCTCACGAAACCGGGCTCCTCCTGGCCGGAGATCAGGGGCTGCTCCAGCACATCGGCCAGGTCGTTGTGGTAGTTGAAATCCAGCTGGCCCACCACGCTTCGATACCCCATGCCGGCATGGACGGCTGCCCACTTGCCGCAGGCGTATCTATAGAAGTCTAGGCAAGGATCCACATTGCTAGCCATATGCCGGGCCACGCGATCCGGAAGCTGAGGCCGGGCCCATCCCGGAAGAAGGATTACAAGTAGAAGCCGCAAATCGAAGCTCATGACTGATCTGCGGACGATCAGATGGCGAATGAGCACCAGAGCCGGAGCACCAGAGCCGCAGCGTCTTATCGATCTGTTCTAGATTGCGATTAGATTTCTCATTACTTTTAATTAGATTCCAATTAGAGCTCCGGGCCTGGCAGCAACCGGCTCGGGGGATTTGTGGGCTCAGTCTTCTGGGAATTCGAATGCAGTTTGCGGCAACTTTGGCCAGAAGCTGGCACTCGTCGTTGTCGGCTTTGTCGTGTTTTTATGATTTGGGAAAAGTTTTCATTTTGCATTCCGAGAGTTCGCCGCACACACGAAACTTTCGGATGAGGGTGTGGATGGTAGGAGGGTGTGAATGCTGGCGAGAATGTGGCTCAAACTGGATTGCGACACTTTCTCATTTATGTTTAATGCACTTTAGCCAAAAGTGTTGGCCCGGGCTCTCTGCTCCAGCTCCTGCTCCTGCTTGGGGCTTGTTAAGTGCTCAAATATGTGGTGTGGTGGATGGGCTGGAAGTGCGGTGAGAAAATGCCGTCACTGCACTCGAGAGTTCTCATCAAAGTCACGAGATTTTTCGGCAACAAAGAGCCGAAACTTTGGCCGTTTAGCCCGAGGTGGCGGGGGCAAGTGCCGGAATGGATCCAAGGGCCTGGAAACCTGGCCATTTATAATGCGGGGGATGCGGGAATCGGGGGCTTCCAGGGTCTTGGGTGTAATATGTGGCCCGGGGCCACGTCGAGGCATGTTCCATTTTAAGCCTTTGGCTTTGGCTTTGGCTTCTACTTTGGCTGTGTGGATTTGGCTTTGGCATCTACTAACTTGGCCCGAAAGTGTAGGCAACCAAAAACGCTGCACAAGCCTCATTTATTTCACTCAAAATTGATTGACGTCTACCACACACAGAGCCAGTAGACCTTCGGCCAGGCAAACAAGGCTACAGTATGGACTCCGTACAGAGGAGAGGCTATGCTACCACTTTCGATGGATGGGACTCCCTCAGTCAGTCTTCACTGTAGCGGACGTGTGTGTATTGGAGCGAACACATCAACACGGAGACAATGAGAGGGCAGCAGATAATCAATCAGAAAGCTGCTTATTGGCTTTTCAAAATGCGTCGAACAAAATAAATAAAAGTCAAAGCGACAATGTGGCATGTTATGCCCCACATCACCCGCCCCTCCGACCTCCCCCCCCTCTTCAGTCGGTCCTCACTGTCTGATGTTGGCTGCAAAAACAAGTCAAGTTCAATCCAATTCTGGGCCAAAACATCCACAGTTGCTATCTGCTGGTCCACTGGCCTGACCTAATGCCAATTTAATGCTGCGTGTGGCTTATGTCTGTGTCCCCTACACATCCCCCCCAGTCAACACTCCCCCCTCGAGTGCGTGTGTGCGTGTGTGTGTGTGTGTGCCTTCGTGCGTAAGTGTGCGTGATGGAGTAAGCTCTCCGTAATGCCCAAGTATCGATGGACGTATATAATCAGAGGCAATTACGTTTTTCATCCAGCCTGTTCAGATTCCGATTCCGATTCGGATTCGAATTCGCATTCGGATGCCGCCATTCGCTAATTAATTTTCAATACAATTTATGCACACCCGCAAGGGAGCTGCCACCAACCACCACCAGCCACCCACTCTCCACCGCCAACCACAACAATAACATTGATTAGATGGGCAACAAACAGCCGGGAGGAGGCTGGGGGATGCGGAAGTCCTTGGGTCCATCCACTACACGCTTGGCTGGGTCATGGTCTTTAAAGGGAGTGCTGTCTAAAAATTGATCTTAGATGCCGGATGGACTCCAATTTGGGGTTGAGTTAAAGGAGCTAGTCCTTTGATTTAAATGCATGGGAGATGGAATGATAAGGTGACCTTTATAGAGCCAAATTTTAAGAACTTCTGTAAGGATAGTTAGGGGAAACAGTTCTCTTTTATTCACCAGACGTCGGGGTCACCATCTAGGAAAGTGACCCCGATCAATAATAAATATAAGAACTTCTATAAAAACAAACTTTAAAGTTTCAAATTTAATATTTACTTTTAAAATGAAGTATTCCAATTAAAAGACCTGAAAGATGCTATGAAAAAGCTACGCCCCCTGTTACAATAGGTAACCCCGACCGAACATCGACTACAAAAGCATCTAAGCAATTTAATTAATGTGTTATTTAAGAATGACCACCAAAAGCACAACCCAATAGCCAGGCCAGGTGTCTGCCAGTTTCCAATTCCCTCGAAAAACCGCAGTTTCCATGGCCGAGTGCCACTCGATTTGCAATTAATTGTCGCCATCGGAATGGAATTCCGCGCGTCATGTAATTTACACGCCGTACTAACTCCAGTGACCGCACAATTGTGAGCCGCACAACCGCCCAAATGAATGCCAACTATTTGTTATGCTGCCCTCGAGTAGCATTTATGGTTTCCAGCCGAGTCCTCGAACCAAACAAAGGGGAAACATAATTTCTTTTGCTCAAGGCTCAAGGCTGGCTAGAAGCCCCGTACCGAGATCGGGCCAGGAAAGTTGAAGAGTATTTTTCAAGCAGCAGGCTTTTAATTTAAATAAATGCGGCTTGTTAATGTTGCTGTTGTTTGTTGCTATTTTTATGGCAGCAGGACGACCATTTGTCAGCGGTTTGTCTGAGCATTTTTGGGTTTTGCCAGTTTTATGTTTAATTGCGGACGAAATTTGCCATTTGCCCGTCGTTTTAGTTTATGTTTATGGTTGGCTCATTTTGTAATTTCGGAAATTCCCCCCAGAAGGCCACTCTGACCCTGCACCAGAATGCGAAGTATTTGAAGCAAAGTTTTCCGCCGAAAAGTGAAATATGGAAGTCTTTCTCCTTTCTACTTATCTTGTTACCTTTCCTGAATCGTTTCTAGCCCTCCAGCGGCCCCCCGTCCATAATTAATTTTATGCTCTTGCAGTTAACAATTAATTTGGAGGCTGAAACTGCCGGTCATCCTTCGAATTTGGGTGTCACTTGGCCATGATAATCGACTGTTGCCGGTCAAGTGTCAAGCCGTGACTGGCCAAGTTCACGTATGGCAGGCCAAGTGGCAAATTATCCCCCAGAACCTGAGTTCTGAGTTCTGATTATTTTGGTTTTAGAAACGAGTACAAAGGGCGAGAGACTTTAAAAGGCTCAACCATTGTTGGAGGCCGACTGGACTTTGGTTATCCTGCGGCCAGTCATTAGCCCGGTATGGCATTCCTCACGCAACATGTCGCGCACTTTAGGACCATAGGATTGTAGGACTGTGGCACATTTGTCACGAACCCGCAATCAAAGGTGTTTCTAATTTATGAATCAACGCAATTAGCTTTAATAACGTGCTGACCAAATTAGCTCCAGCCACTCCCACTCCCACTCCAGACTGCCCACTGCCCACCATCCACCGGCCATATGTGGGGCCAAGAGCTAGACTGTTGACTCAACATTTGGCATTCATTCGCTTTCATTAACTGGAAACGGAATGACAAACGGTTCTGGTTGCGGCCAAAAGCGTTCAACAGATGGAGATGATTGTCATAAATTGCGGAATCGGAAAGGATATGGCCGGGGGCCATACAGCAAAGGATACAAATAGAGTGGGGAGAGAGAGGTGGGATATAAATAACGAAGGGCCACAAATGTAGACAGCAGTAAGCGATGGCAATATGTTAGAAAAGGTAATCGTTTCTAGTATTGTGAACTGTAAACAGAGCTGGAAAGGAATCTTGTGTCTCAGTGCAGAGCCAACCACAAGAAGTTCTCATTAGGCCGGAAAACATACTATCGGCAGGCTTGACAATAAAAACCACAAATCAGCAAGAAGCGCTATTGACAGAGGCGACCGCAGCAACTGGATTCGTTTGATTTGAATTTTGGATTTCAATTTGGACTAGAATTGATTAAGGATGTCTGATGGTTGACGACTGATGCCTGGGTGCTTTAATTAAAGAAGCATCAGTACAAGAACAAACGGAAACTTTCCGTCGAGGACCAAGTTAGCGACAAGTTGGCAGTGGTGATGTGTGCTTTGGCAGCTTTGTTTGTTTCGAGGCGAGGCGGCGTGGCAAGAACGCCGGCAGTAATTTGGCAAAGTTGGGAACTCGTTGCCCGGCCACCGCTGCGTATGTGTAATGGCTGGTAATTCAATAAACTTTCGCCCCCAAAATGAAAACTAAAGCGCAGGCTGAGACGGCTGAGACGGCTGCGACGACCAACTTGAATATGCAATTTCACTCAATTTGGCCGGCTGCCCTTCCATCAATTAATTAGTGCTCTCTGGAAACTTGGATCCTTGGAGCCATGGAGCCATGGAGCCTCAAGGAATTTGGCCACGAAAGCAAACACTCCAGATTCCGATTCCGAGGCGGTGTCCGTTTAGGAATACGAGTAGAGGCTCTGGCAAAATGGTAATTTGAGTTGTTATTACTTCTCCTCCGAGTACCGACTGACGACTGCTGACTCCCCACCCGACCCTCTGGCGTTGTCCAGACGACGACGACGACGACACACAAAGCTGCCGGAGAAAAACAACCCAGCATTATACTGGTCATTAGCGGGCACTTTTTTTTCGGAGGCCCCGGCCAGAGGACATTGAACAGTTAATGATACCTGGAATTCCACAGAAATAGAAACACGGAATCCCTGAATGCCCCCTGACATGCTAACAGGCCCGGAATAATGAATACCCTAGCCACTCCCGACAGAGGCCCCAAAGTTCAAAGGAAGCGGATTTGGAAACTCTAGATCAGTTTATTGAAAGTTAAAAGAAAGCAAAAAAAAAAAGGATCTTTAAGAATAAAGGAGCTCACGTCCTCAGGCGGAGGTGCCTGCGGGGGTGGTGGAAGTGGGCGGACTCAGGGTAGTGGAACGAGGGGTGGTGCTGCGCCTGGTGGTGCTACGCCGAGTGGTGCTGCGACGGGTGGGTCGCGGAGAGGGTCGTGGGGAGGGTCGCGGTGATGGGCGTCGGGGAGTGGGTCGCGGAAGGACAACGCAGGCCTGTGGCTTGTCGCCCAACTGCAGTTGCCCGCATCGCCTCCTGTCGGTGCGGCGCCAGTCTAGAGAAGGGTTAAGAGTCAGGGGTTAGTAAAGGGTTAATCACCAACCGGAAGAAGCTATGTCCTTACTGTTCCTGGGCTGGCTGTGGCAGTTCTGGTTCCTCAGCTGGCAGTTGTTGGCCAGCACCTTGCACTCCCTACCGTTGCGGGACTGGACGCAGATCTCCCGGGCGGGCGGGGTGCGCTTGCAGACGACGGGACGCGCCGGGCAGGGCTCCCAGCAGCGGCGGCGGTGGGCGGCACCCACGCCCCTCACCGTCCGGCACTCGATGTCGCGGGTGTGGCGCACATTGGCCGGCTGGCGGTTAAGGTTGGCCAGGCCCAGCTCGCAGATCGAGTTGAAGCGCTGGCAGTGGCCGCTGGGAGTGCGGCCGCACACCTTGGGGCTGGAGCGGGAGCAGAGCGCCTGGACGGGCAGGCAGCGGGGTCGGGGCCTGGGCCGCACGCTGATGGGGTTTGGGGGCCGGGTGCTGGTCGCCGGCGGCCCGGTGGTGGCCTGGACGGAGGCCCACAGCAGGGCGATGCCTGAAAGTACTTGCTTAGAGTCTCCTGGGTCTCCCGGGGTGGGGGGTTATATTACCAAAGATCAGGGTCAGTTGATGATGCATTTCGGAGGTTTGGAGCTTCAGGTGCTTCTGATGCCATTTCGGCCAAAATCCTAAGTATTTATACCGCACTCCGGAGGTGTTGCAACAATTACCGGGAAACAAGTGCCCGCACGCGTGCCTCCCGCTATTGTTTCATAACTCATTATGCTTTTCATTTAATTTTCGAGTCAATGAACTCCCGATCGCAGCGACAGGTGCTCTAAATGTGTGCCACATGTTCTGGCACTTGTACTCCACAAGTGACATAACTCCATAGACCTTGCTAGACCACCATCACTGACTGATTCCAACGAGTCATCCTGACTCATCGCTCATACGCACTGTTACACTTCTTATGGCCACTCTTCCGTGCTTTTAAAGATGTTTTTCCAAGTCTTATTAATGGAGCCGATTTAGTTCGATGTCGATTGATTGCCGGGTGGAGGAAGCCCCTCGGAACACACCCTCCCTTCCGGAACAAAAGCCCTAGAACTCCCCAGAACAGATGTTCTGGAACAGAGACACTACGCTGGGCCGCGCTATAAATACCCAACTCGGTGATCGGTAAGGCATCAATCAACCAGCACTCCCCCTCCAGACATCTTCTAGAGAGAACCAGTCGAGCCATGTCCAAGCTGAGCATCTGCATCCTCCTCGTGATCCTGGCCATCGCCTCCACCCAGGCGGACGGCAACCGTCGTCCCTGCCCCGGCCGCTGCACCGGCTACGCCCAGAGCGACGGCCAGAGTGTCTGCATCCGGGACAAGAGAACCAACACCTGCACCAAGCTGAGGGCCTGCCGCCTCCGTGAGAGGAACTGCGCCCGTCGCGCCTCCGGACTGGAGCCTCTGAAGGAGACCTGCGTCACCCGCTGCCGCAACATCCTCGGCACCAGCGGCGTCGGCCAGTGCGCTCCCCGTCTGCGCAACCCCGCCGCCGTCTCGGAGTCAAAGCGCATCCGCGAGTGTCGCCGTCGTCCCTGCCTGGAGGACAAGCTGGCCACTTGCTGGAAGAACCAGCAGGGCGCCTGCCGCCTCCAGACCCGCTGCGAGGCCCAGAGGAGGAACTGCAGCCGCAAGCCCGCCAACCAGTGGGTGAGGGCCAGCCGCTGGAGCTGCAAGGGTGCCGAGGATGGACGCGTCCGCCAGTGCTGGACCAGGCCTCTCATCATCAAGGACTAGACGCCTCCCAGCCGACCATCACACCCGAAGTCTACCAAAAAACCTATTACCTAATCCTCTATCTTTTTTTTTCAATAACCACATCTAAATACAGTTCTTTCCGAGTAACTCTGACTGTTTCCCTTCCATTTGGCCAGCACTTTGGCCAGCACTTCAATATCCTGCATTGGAGGATATTGTTGGCCATTGTTGGCCTTGCACCGGACCAATTAGGACTGAGACCCAATCCCAATAGCCCCACACTCACAAATATTTAAATGGACTCTGGCACTCTTATTTTCCCAGTGCGTCCGTGTGCCAATATTTAGCTTCACGCCCAGTGGACTTGGCCTGGCACCGTGATTCGCTTAAAGGCCCAGTTAGTTGTGGCAATGTATTCTAATTCCACTCTGCCCCCTCCACGCTGCCGCGCTAAACACACGTTCGCGTTCGGGCACCAGGGCCAACAAAATTTGCATTCGAGCACAAAGTGGCGAGTGTAATTTTCATATTTGCACTTTCCAGGGGGTCACTTGGGCGACAGGGGCGACCATGGACAACCATGGGCGGAGGTGGCGAGGGCCTTGCTAAATGCTAATAGAACGCGTGGGAGCCAACAGCTGACAGCCCGGCCGGGATCTGAGGTTTCAACCCGTGGACACGCGGCTGGGCTGCTCGACTGCTCGGCTGCGGAACATCGTCCTTTCTCCTTCTTTATGGCCGCAGCAACAATGGAAGCTGCAACAGCAACAACAACAACGCCCCACAACACGCTGAGGCAGCAGCAGGTGACTGGCAACAAAATGCAACAAAGCCAGCTCCCATGACAACCACGACACTGCGAGAAAAGGATCCCACAACTCGGATATTCCAGGAATTCCAGAAACTATAACCTATATATAGCTATATCTTGGGATATATTTATCGGATCCTAAAAAGGGATACAGTTATGGAATCGTGGACCGATTCTCTATAAAACTGCATTCAAATCTTAGGATCGAATATTTTTTGGATTTTTTTCGAATTTTTCTGATGGACCCCCTTGCGAAATGGGGAAATCCCGAAAACCCAAGATACGGTTCCTTGGGAAGGCTGTATCATGGGATATATTTATCGGATCCTAAAAAGGGATACAGTTATGGAATCGTGGACCGATTCTCTATAAAACTGCATTCAAATCTTAGGATCGAATATTTTTTGGATTTTTTTCGAATTTTTCTGATGGACCCCCTTGCGAAATGGGGAAATCCAGAAAACCTAAGATGTGGTCCCTTAGGAAGGCTGTATCATGGGATATATTTATCGGATCCTAAAAAGGGATACAGTTATGGAATCGTGGACCGATTCTCTATAAAACTGCATTCAAATCTTAGGATCGAATATTTTTTGGATTTTTTTCGAATTTTTCTGATGGACCCCCTTGCGAAATGGGGAAATCCAGAAAACCTAAGATGTGGTCCCTTGGAAGGCTGTATCTTGGGATATATTTATCAGATCCTAAAAAGGGATACAGTTATGGAATCGTGGATTGATTCTCTATAAAACTGCATTCAAATCTTAGGATCGAATATTTTTTGGATTTTTTTCGAATTTTTCTGATGGACCCCCGCAAAATGGGAAAATCCCGAAAATCGGAAATATGGTCCCTTGGGAAGGCTGTATCTTGGGATATATTTATCGGATCCCTAAAAGGGATACAGCTCTGGAATCGTGGATCGATTTTCTATAAAACTGCATTCAAATCTTGGCATCGAATATTTTTTGTATTTTTTTCGAATTTTTCTGATGGACCACCTTGCGAAATGGGGAAATCCAGAAAATCCAAGATATGGTCCCTTGGGAAGGCTGTATCTCGGGATATATTTATCGGATCCTAAAAAGGGATACAGTTATGGAATCGTGGATCGATTTTCTATAAAACTGCATTCAAATCTTAGGATCGAATATTTTTTGGATTTTTTTCAAATTTTTTTGATGGACCCCCTTGCGAAATGGGGAAATCCCGAAAATCAGAAATATGGTCCCTTGGGAAGGCTGTATCTCGGGATATATTTATCAGATCTTAAAAAGGGATACAGTTATGGAATCGTGGATCGATTTTCTATAAAACTGCATTCAAATCTTAGGATCGAATATTTTTTGGATTTTTTTCAAATTTATCTGATGGACCCCCTTGCGAAATGGGGAAATCCCGAAAATCAGAAATATGGTCCCTTGGGAAGGCTGTATCTCGGGATATATTTATCAGATCCTAAAAAGGGATACAGTTATGGAATCGTGGATCGATTCTCTATAAAACTGCAATCTTAGGATCGAATATTTTTTGGATTTTTTCCAAATTTTTTTGATGGACCCCCTTGCGAAATGGGGAAATCCCGAAAATCAGAAATATGGTTCCTTGGGAAGGCTGTATCTTGGGATATATTAATCCGATTCTTAAAAGGGATGTAGTGCTAGAATTTTAGAATAATTCTCTACAAGTCCACAAGTTCTCTATTTTCCTAAATATTTTTTTAAAATTTCCGAAATCCCCGGAAATTCTTGCAGTGCATTCTGGGATTCAAAGAATAACAATGTAGCAGGTGGGCGGCGGGTGGTGGCTGTGTAGCTATGGGGCTGTGTGCAGCATGTGCATGCCGTTGGCCCGGAGGGGGCGGGTCGCGTGTACTTAAGCCGGGATAAGAGCCACTGCCGCCGCCCCGCCGCCCTGCCAAGTGGGCCCCACAAAGCGCGACTCCTCGTGTTTCACTTAACGTAAGCCGTGGCAGTGTCGCAGCAAAGGGTTGGGCCATGGGCTGGGTGGACTTGGGCTTGGGTTTAGGTGTGGGTTTGGGCCTGGGAGCTGGTGACATATTATGATGATTTTAAAAGTGTTTTGCTGGCGGCAGAGGAAGGAAATCCGAGTCAAGTGGACGACAGCCGGGGAGCAGTAAACAACATTGATATGTGCAATTAAAGTGGGAGCTCTACCAGCTCCACCAGCTCTCCCAGGTAATGCGACTAAACAAACAGGTCAGAGGCCAGAGTGCCTTTAAATCGCGCTTTGGACATCAAAACCACGAATCCGCAACCTTGGAGCTCGACAGAGTGTGGCCACAACTCAATTAAAAGCCAGCTGCCACTCGACAGCCACTGCCCGAGGTCCTGCAACCAGGCCCGTCAAAATTTTGTACACGCAGGCCGCAGGACCCTGAAAAAAAAGGACACAGGAAGGACACAGAGCTGCATGCTGTAGCCAGATAACAGCCCAATGTCCTATTTTCAAGTCTAGACTAAATGCACTGAGAACGAAGTTGGATAATATTATTCCCAGGGAGAACTACTAGTGGGATCAAGAGCTATAGCTTTTTTCTCAGTGCTGGACCCTACATACACGCACATAATTACAGAGTGCTGCGCCTAACGGAAATTGAGGGACAACAAAGCCTGTCCCGGTCCCGGTCCCGAAAATCAACTTTTCAGTGTCAGAGATCCTAGCATCTCCTCCTGGCAGCATGGGCGTCTCTGATCCCGGATAGTGCTCACAATTTAATTTCCTAACGTCGGCAGACAAACTGCAGGAAGCTGGAAAACTACGTCCGCTGATTGCGCCACGGAAATGGAATTAGACGAGCTGGAAGAGATTCCCCCGAAAACTCTGCAGAGCACTAGGGTCGGGAATAGGCCTGGTGTAATGAGCTGGTAATGAAAAACTGGTAGTGGTATGTGACCCGACTGAGGAAACTCCTCGACAAAGCTGACAAATTGTTGCGAAAACCTAATTACTTGCAAATGAGTTGCCGCGAGATCATTAGGCTAATTATGTAGGCTCCCAAAAAAAACTACGAGTTTTTCTCCGAAAAATCAACAAACAACAGAGCTGGCTGGCTGGCTGGCAGAGGAAAATAAATATTCCAAGAACGCTCATTTGCATAGTGGGTAGTAAACAATTTTCATTTCCCCGACTGAGAACTCTATCGAACTTTAATAGAGTTTTCAATAGAGGTCAGCATGGTCAGAGTGGAGCGAATGGCGAGTCTGATTAGAGCCCCTTCTCCTCTAGTTTCTCTTTAAAACCCTGATTTGAGGTATCAGTTATTCGTCACCTTCCCTCATAGAGACACCTTTTTTTTAGCCATCGGTAGCCTGCCCATCAAAATGTCAACTGTGGTGGCGTAATGCGCTTTGATAGTTTCCCGATTCGGGCCTTTAATTGGATTTATTGGCTCACCGACCAACCATAGCGAGGGGAAAGAAGTAATCAACATCAGAAATTGTATTATGAAAATAAACAAAACTCATTTTCATATGCAAAGAGTGTCCTTCCCGCAGCCTTGCCCTTGCCGGGCCACCACCTCCCCCCGCCTTTGGGCAACCTACGCCACTGGAGCGTGCGTGCATCTGCATATATTTAAACTTTTTACACAATTCTTTGTTTATTTATTTAGTTGTGTTCGTGTTTGTCTTCCCTGTCCCTGTCCCTGTCCCTGTCCCCATACCCATTTGCTAAAAAAAAAACCAGAAAACAAAACACTGAACGGGCCAGGCAAGAAAAACAAAAACCGAGCTTGAGTAAAACATTTTTGCATAATTTTTTAATTTACTCTTTTTTTTTTTGGTTAAAAATAGAACACAGAACACAGCGCAGCACAAAACGAAGCCCTCACCCAGAAAGCTTTTGTGATTGTCTTTTAAAAAATTGTGAAATCGATGCCAGGCATGCCGGGAATGGGCATGGGTGGAGGCAGAGGGCTCTCCCAGCAACCAGCTACCCCTCCTATTTATATAAGAAAGACAAATGGTCGACACACGTCCTCCTGGCCACTCGAAGCCACTTGCATTTGAGAGCCGTAAGATGGGATAAGGAAGAGGAACTGCAGCCACATCGACACATACGTGCCCTCCTCAGTGGCAAGTCATAAATGTCAGTGGCTCCTTAGGCCCAAGAGTGTCGAAAATTTTTACACAACAGCACCGAGAAAAATAAAGTTTTCTTTCAGAGTTGGAAGAAGTTGGAGGATGAGTCTTCAGGTTGATCTCCTTCTTTGGATGAAAGATGGAGGCTTCAGATTCCAAAAACTAGCTTCCTTTTAAAATGTCCACCTCCTTTTGTACTTCAGTTGATGGCTTCCGGGGCAGTGTATTAGAAT